CATCCGACCCCAGGCTTGTGACGCGGCCCATAACTATGCCTCTTTCTTTTAGTGCAGCCTTCACTTCATCAAAAATACACAGAGCTGTTCCTGAATGGATATTGTAATTCCCTAGGAAGCACGTTTCCACTTTCCCATTGTTTTCGAGTTTTATATACATTATGAGTTTTTTATTGACTGTGATGTTTACCGTTTCATCTATTATCAAGCCAACAAAGTCACTTTTCTTTATTTTTTCGTTTACTTCATTAATTATAGTTTTTTCTAAACCCTTTTCCATGTCATTTACAGACTCGTCGTGTTTGTATAAAATGTTACTTTTAAAGTCAGGAGCATCAACACTTTGCATCAATTCCAACAGTCCACAAAACTGATGACAGGGTATATCGTTTTTAGCCATGTAAAAAACAACCTTCATCTGTGAAGTCAAGGCGTTTCTGCTTGATTGGAGCGCTTTATCACAATGCTGTTTCATAGCGCTTTGTTGTTGCGATAAATGCACAGCGGACAGGTGCTCTGAGCTTTGGCTGTGCTCTAACAGTGTAGAGGCTTTATAGTTAATTGATCCTTTGGTGAAACCGTTATATTTACCGGACTTCTCACAAATGATGCAAAACATTTTGTCAGTCCCATCCATTAGCTCTCGCCTTAACCATTTGAACCGATCCTGCCACTCGGGCTTGTAGCATCTTCGAGCTTTTTTTGCTCCTCCGACATCATTTTCATTTGCACCAGATGCATGGCGCTTTTCGGGAGGTCCTGATTCTTCCATTGGTGTATAGTCACTTGTAGATTGAGTAGTAGATGTTTTCTTGAAGAAATGAGCGAGAGACGATTGCTTCGACATTGTTAGCGTAGGTTTCAAATCTCGCGCCGCGAACCAGAGGGCGTTAACGACGTCATGGGGTGTGCTAATCCTAGGCATTCACGACCACCTTTTAAACCACAAGCCTTTAAAACGACCACATTTATTGATTTGTTGTCTGATTTAAGTGATTTATTTATTGCATAGTGATAATAATGATAATTATAATTTTTATTGTAACTTAATTTTTTTTTTTTTCAATCAACCGACGTGGCCGACGGCACTTTTTTTTCTCGGCCAAAGACATATTTTACCGGCCAAAAGCCGGCTACAGCCGGCTAACGGGAACCCTGGCCCCAACCCTAACTCTAACCTTAGCCCCAACTCTAACCTTAGCCCTAACTCTAACTCTAACCTTAGCCCTAACTCTAACTCTAACCTTAGCCCTAACTCTAACTCTAACCTTAGCCCCAACCCTAACTCTAACCTTAGCCCTAACTCTAACTCTAACCTTAGCCCCAACCCTAACTCTAACCTTAGCCCCAACCCTAACTCTAACCTTAGCCCCAACCCTAACTCTAACCTTAGCCCTAACTCTAACCTTAGCCCTAGCCCTAACTCTAACCTTAGCCCTAGCCCTAACTCTAACCTTAGCCCTAGCCCTAACTCTAACCTTAGCCCTAACTCTAACCTTAGCCCTAACTCTAACCTTAGCCCTAACTCTAACCTTAGCCCTAACTCTAACCTTAGCCCCAACCCTAACTCTAACCTTAGCCCTAACTCTAACCTTAGCCCTAACTCTAACCTTAGCCCTAGCCCTAACTCTAACCTTAGCCCTAACTCTAACCTTAGCCCTAGCCCTAACTCTGACCTTAGCCCTAACTCTAACCTTAGCCCTAACTCTAACCTTAGCCCTAGCCCTAACTCTAACCTTAGCCCTAACTCTGACCTTAGCCCTAACTCTAACCCTGACCTTAGCCCTAACTCTAACCCTGACCTTAGCCCTAGCCCTAACCTCAGCCCTAGCCCTAACTCTAACCTTAGCCCTAACTCTAACCTTAGCCCTAACTCTAACCTTAGCCCTAACTCTAACCTTAGCCCTAACTCTAACCTTAGCCCTAGCCCTAACCTTAGCCCTAACTCTAACCTTAGCCCTAACTCTGACCTTAGCCCTAACTCTAACCTTAGCCCTAGCCCTAACCTTAGCCCTAACCCTAACCCTAACCTCAGCCCTAGCCCTAACTCTAACCTTAGCCCTAGCCCTAACCTTAGCCCTAGCCCTAACTCTAACCTTAGCCCTAACTCTAACCTTAGCCCTAACTCTAACCTTAGCCCTAACTCTAACCTTAGCCCTAACTCTAACCTTAGCCCTAACTCTAACCTTAGCCCTAACTCTAACCTTAGCCCTAACTCTAACCTTAGCCCTAACTCTAACCTTAGCCCTAACTCTAACCTCAGCCCTAACTCTAACCTTAGCCCTTACTCTAACCTTAGCCCTAGCCCTAACTCTAACCTTAGCCCTAGCCCTAACTCTAACCTTAGCCCTAGCCCTAACTCTAACCTTAGCCCTAGCCCTAACTCTAACCTTAGCCCTAGCCCTAACTCTAACCTTAGCCCTAGCCCTAACTCTGACCTTAGCCCTAACTCTAACCTTAGCCCTAGCCCTAACTCTAACCTTAGCCCTAGCCCTAACTCTAACCTTAGCCCTAACCCTAACCCTAACTCTAACCTTAGCCCTAACTCTAACCTTAGCCCTAACTCTAACCTTAGCCCTAACTCTAACCTTAGCCCTAACTCTAACCTCAGCCCTAACTCTAACCTCAGCCCTAGCCCTAACTCTAACCTTAGCCCTAACTCTAACCTTAGCCCTAGCCCTAACCTTAGCCCTAACTCTAACCTTAGCCCTAACTCTGACCTTAGCCCTAACTCTAACCTTAGCCCTAGCCCTAACTCTAACCTTAGCCCTAGCCCTAACTCTAACCTTAGCCCTAGCCCTAACTCTAACCTTAGCCCTAACTCTGACCTTAGCCCTAACTCTAACCTTAGCCCTAGCCCTAACTCTAACCTTAGCCCTAGCCCTAACTCTAACCTTAGCCCTAGCCCTAACTCTGACCTTAGCCCTAACTCTAACCTTAGCCCTAGCCCTAACTCTAACCTTAGCCCTAGCCCTAACTCTAACCTTAGCCCTAACCCTAACCCTAACCCTAACCCTAACCTTAGCCCTAACTCTAACCTTAGCCCTAACTCTAACCTTAGCCCTAACTCTAACCTTAGCCCTAACTCTAACCTTAGCCCTAACTCTAACCTTAGCCCTAACTCTAACCTTAGCCCTAACTCTAACCTCAGCCCTAGCCCTAACTCTAACCTTAGCCCTAACTCTAACCTTAGCCCTAGCCCTAACTCTAACCTTAGCCCTAGCCCTAACTCTAACCTTAGCCCTAGCCCTAACTCTAACCTTAGCCCTAGCCCTAACTCTAACCTTAGCCCTAGCCCTAACTCTGACCTTAGCCCTAACTCTGACCTTAGCCCTAACTCTGACCTTAGCCCTAACTCTGACCTTAGCCCTAACTCTGACCTTAGCCCTAACTCTAACCTTAGCCCTAGCCCTAACCTCAGCCCTAGCCCTAACTCTAACCTTAGCCCTAACTCTAACCTTAGCCCTAACTCTAACCTTAGCCCTAACTCTAACCTTAGCCCTAACTCTAACCTTAGCCCTAACTCTAACCTTAGCCCTAACTCTAACCTTAGCCCTAACTCTAACCTTAGCCCTAACTCTAACCCTGACCTTAGCCCTAACTCTAACCTTAGCCCTAGCCCTAACTCTAACCTTAGCCCTAACTCTGACCTTAGCCCTAACTCTAACCCTGACCTTAGCCCTAACCTCAGCCCTAGCCCTAACTCTAACCTTAGCCCTAGCCCTAACCTTAGCCCTAGCCCTAACCTTAGCCCTAACTCTGACCTTAGCCCTAACTCCAACTCTAACCTTAGCCCTAACTCTAACTCTAACCTTAGCCCTAACTCTAACCTTAGCCCTAACTCTAACCTTAGCCCTAACTCTAACCTTAGCCCTAACTCTAACCTTAGCCCTAACTCTAACCTTAGCCCTAACTCTAACCTCAGCCCTAGCCCTAACCTTAGCCCTAACTCTAACCTTAGCCCTAACTCTAACCTTAGCCCTAACTCTAACCTTAGCCCTAACTCTAACCTTAGCCCTAACTCTAACCTTAGCCCTAACTCTAACCTTAGCCCTAACTCTAACCTTAGCCCTAACCTTAGCCCTAACCCTAACCTTAGCCCTAACTCTAACCTTAGCCCTAACTCTAACCTTAGCCCTAACTCTAACCTTAGCCCTAACTCTAACCTTAGCCCTAACTCTAACCTTAGCCCTAACTCTAACCTTAGCCCTAACTCTAACCTTAGCCCTAACTCTAACCTTAGCCCTAACTCTAACCTTAGCCCTAACTCTAACCTTAGCCCTAACCCTAACCTTAGCCCTAACTCTAACCTTAGCCCTAACTCTAACCTTAGCCCTAACTCTAACCTTAGCCCTAACTCTGCCCTTAGCCCTAACTCTAACCTTAGCCCTAACTCTAACCTTAGCCCTAACTCTAACCTTAGCCCTAACTCTAACCTTAGCCCTAACCTTAGCCCTAACCCTAACCTTAGCCCTAACTCTAACCTTAGCCCTAACTCTAACCTTAGCCCTAACTCTAACCTTAGCCCTAACTCTAACCTTAGCCCTAACTCTAACCTTAGCCCTAACTCTAACCTTAGCCCTAACTCTAACCTTAGCCCTAACTCTAACCTTAGCCCTAACTCTAACCTTAGCCCTAACTCTAACCTTAGCCCTAACTCTAACCTTAGCCCTAACTCTAACCTTAGCCCTAACTCTAACCTTAGCCCTAACTCTAACCTTAGCCCTAACTCTAACCTTAGCCCTAACTCTAACCTTAGCCCTAACCCTAACCTTAGCCCTAACTCTAACCTTAGCCCTAACCCACATGGGAAAGTGTCAGTTGTTAGATGTTGAATGAGGCCATTTAGAATAAGGACACATAAATACTCATTAAGAGTTACTTAAACATGTTTTTCTAATAAGATGAGTCTGATTTGTTAAACGTCACTCTTTGTGGACACACACACATTGTATTTAAGTAAGGTAAGGTTAGGTACACTAGCTTTAAAAGAGCTGTACCTGCTGCCATCTCTGCTGGAAGGAGCTGTCCCCAGCAGCGAATATGTGCTTCTTGATCTGCTCCATCAGTCCATGGTACAGGACCGAGGCAGAGCTGTAGTTACCCAGCAGAGCGTACTCCCGAGCCAGCTTCAGGTTCTCCACGATGTCCCGGACACTCATGAGCTGCAGATTAAAAAGTTTTAAAGGCTTTCACAAAAGTTTGTAATCTTTGCGAGTCTGAAGCTGCAGATTAAGTAAGAACACAGCACTACATTCCTCCATAATTAAAACATATATTCACAAATCTTATGACGTGACAGAATAAACTACATGTGTGTGTGTTTGTTAGCCTTTAGCATTCTGAGCTAACTTATCTGTAGCTTTGGCTTAACCGAGTACAAAGATACTGTGGAGTTGGCATCACTTTTCTTCCGTTGAATGAAGACTGTTTTACCTCGTCGTGTTGAGAAAGCTGCAGGATCCTCGTTGTGTTGAGAAAGCTGCAGGATCCTCGTTGTGTTGAGAAAGCTGCAGGATCCGCGTTGTGTTGAGAAAGCTGCAGGATCCTCGTTGTGTTGAGAAAGCTGCAGGATCCTCGTCGTGTTGAGAAAGCTGCAGGATCCTCGTCGTGTTGAGAAAGCTGCAGGATCCGCGTCTTCTTCGTGTTGAGTTTTGACCTGAGTCCGTGGAAAGTTTTGCTGCCACCTGCGTCAGTGCGCCTGGTGTCCAGCAGGGGGCGCAGCGGCCGCACTTCCGCCGCTGATTTTATATAATACAGTAATAATATTTACAGTCTATGGTAATAATACTTTTATTTATAAAGATTGGTCGATACTCGATAGGGTTTATATACAGACAGAGTTAGATAGACAACCCCAGGTCTGTTTTGTTGTTATCTTGTAACATGGTTAAACACTCAAGAATGCATCTGTTTTACAAAGCACTTTTCTGACTCTAAAAGTCTCTTCACATCATTATCCTTTCACTCCAAACACTGTAGCCACAGCTGCCCTGGGGCACACTGACAAAAACAAGCCATCGGCCCCTCCCACCACCACCAACCATTCACACACACACCAGACTCATTCTAATGTGGGGGAAGTGTCTTGCCTAAGGACACAACCACAGTATGGCACTGTGGCACCTGCTGTTCCCAGAGCTCTCCCATCTCAGTACTAACCAGGCCCTGACCTGCTTAGCATCAGATGTCTGAGGGATCTGGCTTTCACCTGCAGGTATAAACTCTTCTGTTAAACCCTGGACTTGTCTGGTTGAATAATGTTTGTAGGTTTTAATAATAAATAAGTAGTAAATAGTTTTGTTAAAGTCTGAGAAAACTACTGTTGTTTTAGAGCGATACACGAATAAATTGAATTGACAAAAATAATCAAACCAATGTTTTATTGTCTCAGTAGGAATAGTGTCCTCTGCATTTGCTCCAGTTTCATCTTCATAAATATCTTTAACTATAATTATTGTACATGTTTTAGTTTCAGGAGAAAACCCTCAGAAGGAACATGTTCACTCACTCTTACTCAGACCAGGATTCAAACCCATGACCTCACTGCAGCCGCCGACAAACACAACCACACACGTCCTGAAGCCTGTGATCACTCACTTTATTGCTGCTTGTAGAACAAAATCAATGTGAGAAATTATGTACAACTAATATCACGGTCATAGAAAAGAAACTTCATTATATCTACATACTACTCTAACGCTACGTCTGGGTCAAATGCATTATATCTACATACTACTCTAACGCTACGTCTGGGTCAAATGCATTATATCTACATACTACTCTAACGCTACGTCTGGGTCTAATGCACGTATCATTTGCAAAAACAGCTGAAAATAGGTCAAAAAGTAGCATTTCTCTGGTTAAAATCATGTTTTGTTATTGGCAGTATTGAAAGAATGAGCTCAGTATTTGAACGGCAGTAACAGGCAAACGGTAAATCCATATTTCTCTTCATTTGAAAAGCTTCCACAGTATATTTACTTCAGATTTAAAAGATTCTAACATCACCTCATTGCATCAGGGACAGTATAAATCTGAGGTAGTCTCTGAGCCAAATTCATAAAACAAAAGAATAACACTGTCAGTAAATAGTGCATCAAACTAACTCATAATAACAATGTTTTTCTAAAAAGTCACATACATTAACAATGATTAAGACATAATAATATCCTGTGTCCTGAGATCCACTGTGCAGCCTTTAAAAGCAACGACCACTTCAATCCCACCAGCTACAAAAATAAAAACAATTGTGCAGGAAGACTTAACATCAAATATATTCATAAAAACCACGCAGTCACGGGAAAAACGCAAGAAAAAAGTCAAATCAAAGTCATGTTTTTGGGTTTTTCTAGGTTTAAGTACAAAACCGCTATGTACAAAATCTACAACACGTCCTAGCATAAGTTCTTTCAGGTTAGCATCAGCTCTTTCAGGTTAGCATAAGTTCTTTCAGGTTAGCATCAGCTCTTTCAGGTTAGCATCAGCTCTTTCAGGTTAGCATCAGCTCTTTCAGGTTAGCATCAGCTCTTTCAGGTTAGCATCAGCTCTTTCATGGTTTTTGGCATTGTTTTCTTGCACCAATACTTCGTACCACAATCAGTCAGGATGAAAATTGAAAGTAAAAAACAAAAATTTCACTGAATCCTTTTGGGTTTTTGGGGGTTGGGAGAATATTGGAAGAAATGCTGTGGTTTTTGAGAGTCCACGTTCAGTAAACACGAGGGATGATTCTGTAGGGAACCGTCCGGCAGTATTGGTCCCAGGCCGAGCCGTACTTTCTCCTGCACTCGCTCATGTCCCGGGAATCTCGATGTACGAGGAGAATGATGAAGTAGATCATGTAGTACCAGGGCAGCAGGTGGCTGAAGCCTGAGGAGAGGATTATATCATAATATAATAACATGTAGTACCAGGGCAGCAGGTGGCTGAAGCCTGAGGAGAGGATTATATCATAATATAATAACATGTAGTACCAGGGCAGCAGGTGGCTGAAGCCTGAGGAGAGGATTATATAATAATATAATAACATGTAGTACCAGGGCAGCAGGTGGCTGAAGCCTGAGGAGAGGATTATATAATAACTATGGCATTAGAAGTTAGATAAGAGACACAGAGGCAGATGTAGCAGGACACAGGACAGTAGTAAATGCTAAGTAGCCGTAAATGCTAAGTAGCTGTAAATGCTAAGTAGCTGTAAATGCTAAGTAGCTGTAAATGCTAAGTTATGGTCAGAAGCAATTGTTAAAGAAACTGACCGCACGGCAGAGACCAGGCCAGGGCCATGATCAGGTCTCCGAGATAGTTGGGGTGACGGACCACTCCCCACCAGCCTGACACCAGCAGACTCTTCCCTGTGGCTGTGGGGATGCTCTTCAGATCTGATATCAAAAAGAAAATTAGCATATGTAAATGAGGCCAACTGCACATCCCATATTGCACCTGACTACTGTTTTATTCTGTTTATCCTGTTTTTAAATGTTTTTATTATGCCTGTACAGTGTCCTTGGGTGTTTTGAAAGGCGCTTTTAAATAAAATGTATTATTATTATTATTATTTCTCTCCATTTTTGTCCTTCCCTCTGGTCACTCTCTCTATAGTCTCTCTCTCTGGACTTTCTGGTCTCTCAATAAAACAAAAGAAATATTATCCATTATTTTGATCATTACTTGGTCATTTCATGTTTTAGGAAGTGAAATATTCCCTTAACTAGAAAGTATACGTTGAAACGAGTATGAAAGGTAATATAATGCTGCCTGTAACTCCCTGTGCTACCACCAGAGGGAGGACGTCATTTCACTGGACCAACTACCAAAACTAATTAAACTAAAGTAAAACGTCTCTCAGCACGATGAGGATCTTTCACACAGAAGGGGCGGAGCTACACATTTGTGGCAGAAGTTACAGACATTAGCTTTGATGGAGCTAAAATCTGGTTAGATTTTGCAAATCTCCTTTAAGTTTATTATTTAGAACAGAACCAAACGACTGATTGAACGAAGCTGTGGTTATTACACAATAATCTTTGGACTTTCTAACACGTTACAAATATGTGTAAAAATACATAACCAGAAAATACAAACTTACGAGACAGTCTGGGGTCTGCGGGGTTTCTCCTGAAGGCGTTCTTCTCAAAGTTGGACTTTCTGAATATATAGAAGCCCAGCACTGCACAGAACAGAGGGAAAGGTTTATGAACACATGACTAAAGTATCATTAACTAGGGCACTGTTTTGAGAAGTACTAACGCTTGACAGTGACGATGAGAGCCACGGCGACGGGGCTCAGGGCGTTGGGGTGAACCACCAGATAATAGGCCTGAAGCGAGTACGTGAAGGGCACCCAGACCAGGTCCCCAAAGGCCAGCATGAAGCCGAAGCCGTCGTGCATCAGGTCCATGGTGGTGAGAATGGCCTCCTATGGAAAAGGAAAAGTGAGTAATGTTTATTTATATAGAGCATTTTACAGACTAAGGTCTAACCCAAAGCACTTCACAAAGTTCAGATATTGTTTAATTCTCTCCACACGGTGAAGTGAGAGCAGAACACACTGGTCCATCAAAGGCTCTGACCAAACACCACTCACTCACTCACTACATTCAGATCTATAATGCATGTTTTTAGTGTTAGGGGAAACCGGAGCACCCGGAGGAAACCTACGTAGACACGGGGAGAACATGCAAACTCCACTCAGAAAGGCCTTGTTTCGACCAGGATTCGAAGACCACCAAGAGTGCTAACCACTCAGCCGCCGCCTGAGCCGCAGTAAAACCCTGTCATTTTTAGATTGTATTATTTCTTCTTCTGTGCCTGAGTTTTCTGTTCAGTGCCTGCCCCGCCCTGACCCCGCCCTGACCCCGCCCTGACCCGTCTCTTTCCCTCTGGTCCTCAGTCCTTTCAGCTTTTGTTTTGGGTCCTTCTTTTCCACGACTAAACTCTCGTACCTCATTCCAGAGTCCGTCGACCACGTAGAGGAGCTGGAAGGCGTTGACCAAGAGCATGGCCGGAGACGGGGCCTGAAGCCGCTGCAGCTTCATCTCAGTCAGAGCCATCCCCAGGTTTATCACACACTGGAAAACAACAACAACAATAAAACAATCTGGTCCTGAACAAAATAAATAACCTTTGGTAGATGTGGCGTTGGACCTGACTCACCCAGCCGATCAGTCCAGGACGCATCTCACAGAAGAATTTCAGGTCAAAGCTCTTAATCCGTGGGTTTAGTTCTCTTCCTTTGAAAAAGTCGTAGAGGATATTTCCTGAAACACAAGACCAAAGAGAGTTAGGGCCACGCAGGCAAGTTTATTTGAATAGAACATTTCATACACACGGACTCTCAAAGTGCTGCACAGAACAAGCTAGCATGAAATAGCATAAAAATAAAACATCACATTAAAAAGAAAGATAAAAATATTAAATATAAAACCGGAGCCCCCGGAGGAAACCTATGCAGACACAGGGAGAACATGCAAATTCCACTCAGAAAGGCCCTGTTCCGACCGGGATTGGAACCCAGGAGTAGAGCCGAGTAGAGATGGTGGATTGGACCGTGAAAAGCCTGAGGTTAGGGTTCAGATCTCGGCTCACCTGAGTTTCCGCCTAACGCCAGCTGCTCCGGGCTCAGGCTGCAAGAGCGAACGAACAGATACAGACTCAGAAGGAGCGAGATGAGGAGAGCAGCCGCTGCCAGCTGCAGGAAGTGACTGTGGATGTAGGTAAAGTCCACCCCCTGGTGGACGCCCGCCGCAACTGCAGCAGCGCTCACAGTGACGGCAAAGAACCCTGAGAGAGGAAAAGGCGTCTGAGTGAACACGCTTCAGTCATGAACACGCTTCAGTCATGAACCGGACTCGTCGTCTTTCTCTGTGTTATTATTCCCACAAATGTTGCTTTGTTTATAATTGATTTAATGTTGTTTCGTCTTTTTCATGACTGTCGCCCCCTGCAGGACACTGTCTGCTATGGAGAGCAGCGTCAGAGACAGACTTATCCACCCTCGATGTGTGACGGGAATGTTTAGCAAGTCTTTTCTTCCTGCTGCTGTCAGACTGTACAATGAGGACTGCTGAGTCTGTGCCGATACTTCCCATGTCCCTTTACTGCTTATATCATTATTACTATTATTTATTCTGTTCATATTCTCTGCTGCTAAATTATAACCATCTGTTACTCATCTTTGACCCAAGGGCAATTCGGGCGTTCTGCTCTCCCAAAATTTCATCCACTGAGCGGCGCTGTGATCAAAAAATGACACCGTTTGTTGCCCAGTTCACTTCCGGTTGATTTCATACAACGGCGAATATGGCTCACGAAAACAACAAACGATTGACAGTGCCTGAATTGCGAGAAAGGTTGAAGCGAAAGGGTATTTGCAGTGTGGGAAAACGAAAGGAGGAATTGTTGTTGCTAGTTCAACGAGCGGATGGTGTTTATGAAGATTTAGAAGAAGATGACAGCGAGCAGAGTGAACGAAAACGGCTGTGTGTGCGAGTGACAGATGGTAACAATGAGAATGAAGTTCAGCTAAGAGGGAAGAATGTGAATTGGACGGATGATTTGCGCGATATGCCACTAGTTAGAGACGGGAATGTATTTGCATAATGTAAAATGACGAAAACACTCAACCATTTAGAGAAAATGCGCCGGGCAGAGAGAACCGGAAGTTGCGAAGGCAAGTGTTACCCATAATGCAACGCAAAATTCAGTCGCTCCCCCGCCCATCGGATGGAATTTTGGGAGAGCAGAACGCCCGAATTCCCTTTCCAGTCACTTTTCTGTCTGAAAAAGTTGATCTAAATATGTGACAAAGGCAAATATACATGCATGAATAAACATACATTTGGAATGACAGTTGTTGTTGTAAGAAAAACATCATTACAGATAATTGGAGGAATGCAAGAGCTAGAAACATTATATAACGAGTTCTTCACCGTGGAATGTGTGCTTTGGAAATGATCCAACCCCAAAATAATGTCAGAAGAAAAATACTTTGATTTTCTAAATAATACACTTTGATGGACTAAAGGCTAGACTGTTGTTGCTTCAGTTTCAGCAGGTGGCGATAGTTTTCAGCTCAGAAAGGTTGAGGAACACTGATATAACTCACCGTTAGTCCGATACTTCAGCCTCTCTCCGGAGCGCAGCGGCATGCCTTCACTGAGCTGCACAGAGACAGGTTTTACTAAACAGTGGTCCCTCGTTTATCGCGGGTTTACGTCCAAACATACCCCACAATCAATGAAATCCTTGAAATAGCAGTAACTACAATATCCTGAACCACCTGAACTCACGACGGCTGAAGAGTGTTTATAGAGCGCTACAGGACGACCCAGACTTTAAATAAAGGTAAATGTCATGTATGCATTATTTATGGACATATTTATCTTAACTAGAAATGATGTGGCAGAACAACATAACTTGAAAATGACCGGCTCCAAACACAATGGTAAAGAATGTGATGTCGCCTGAGAAGCTGCCAAAACTAATTTATGCACAATACTTTAGTTTTAAAACGGCAGACATGACACTTTCACAGGACAGAGACTGATATCAGCCTGGACGGATCTAAAAACAACTCCACGAACAATGTTGTGGTTAAAAGTTGAAATTCTGGTCCACCTTTCCGACGGGGAGGATGTAGAGCACAGCCTGGAACCACATCCACAGCACCACGATCCCAAAGGCCTGAGCGTCCCAGAAGGAGTCCAGGGCGGGCAGAGCGGGGGGGTTGGTGAGGCTGGGGTCGGCCTGGTTCACCTGCAGCAGCACGTACAGGACCCAGGCCGGCAGGAACAGCAGCCAGAAGTACGCCCCTAAAGACAGACACGAGAGGAGCAAGTGGAAGATGGAAGACAGAGCAGGAAAAGATAAACCAGACATTTACAATCGTACTGTTGGTAAAGAACAATGAAGAAGGCGACTGTAGAATAATAATGCCACATTTTTATAACATTTATTTCATATCTATCTACATGTTGGGTTCTGAGGCTTCAATGAATTTAATGATAATTATAGGAATGATATATTGCTTTACAATGAGGTAAAACGTGCCATGTCTGTCTGGTTTGTGCTTCAGTCACGCCCTTTATAACCATCAACAGATATGTTTTTCTTATTGTTTTTTTCCATTTTTCTGTAGATAAAAAATCATATGTGCATGTTCCAAATAGATACATAAAATGAAAACTGAAATCTCAGCCATATAAACATATAACATCAATGCTGAAAGTCATAATAATAGAAAAGCAGTCCGTACCAATCTTGCCTCCAAAGTCCAGCGTTGTGGGGGCTGGGGCGGGGGCCACAGGGGGCGCCTCCTCCACCTCGGCCTCTTTGGGCTCTGCTGGTTTGACGTCACTGTCGTCTTTCCGGCGCCGCAGGTTGTAGCGGTTCTGGACCTTCTCCGGCTCCACTTCACTCTTGGACACTGGGGTCTGTAAGAAAGACAAGTTTGTTATTGAAACACACTTCTTTATCTTAATACCTTTAAAAACAGAACCAACGTCAGCATTAAAGATGGAAGTATTAAGCCATTCATCTTTAATTATATAGCGCCTTTCACACAGTGATGTGAAAACTAATATTATAAAGTATTTACTCTTTGAACAACATGTTTTCTGGTATTCTGGGAAACAACAGGACACATTCTGAGGCTTGCATTTGTGAGTCGTTAACCGTATCTATTTAGATAATCAACATGGGTCCCATAATCACAATAATAAGTCCATCACATAAACCCTACAGCACATGAGCCTTTCCTTGTGTCGGCTCTGTCTGCTGTTCACAAAAACATCAACAGCCGATAGAGCTGTGTCCAAGGAAGTATTCTACCACAATAACAAACCCATGTATCCATTTACTTGTTTGGTGATTTTACATCCACAAATTGAGGCTTTTTTTTGCTCAAACTGAACCAGAATTGGTCCAGTTTAAGTGAACCAGACTGACAAATGTGAATGCACCCTTTTTCTTTTATTCAATTAAACTTGTTGTAAAGCCTAAATCACACAGCAGTCTGGGAGGACTGCACACAGGAGATGCAATTATAATAAAAACACAGAGGGGCCCATGAATGTTATAGATGTTTCTTACTCAGAAGCAGTTATGAACTAAACAAACTGCATGAGTCAGGACATGGACAGGGCATTTAAAAACAGGAATGTAAAGACAAGGCACATGTTGCGCATGTGACTGAGCAAATGGAGTCAGATCTCGTGAGACGTGAGTGAAAAACACTGTAGAACTGTGCAGTGGTCACAGACTCGTACCTGACTGACTTTGTTGGCAGCGGCGCTGGTCTCTTCTCTGTGTTCAGGCTTATTGTTGTTGTCTGTGGGTATTGTCTTCTGTTGGTTCGAGGGAGAGAAAGAACAAAAGTAGCATCACAAACACCATGAGCAGTGGCAGCACAGACCCTAACCCTGACTCCAGTCTGTAACTATTGAAAACCAGTTTATACAGAATAATAGCAGCTGTGTAAGTGTGGGAGGTACCATAGGAGTGAGGCGGACTTCCAAAACTTCTTTGATCCTGGGCTCTCGTCGTGTCGTGGCGCTCTCTGTGGTCACTGTTGAAGTGCGAGACGACGAGCGGCGAGTCGTTCTTGCCGGAGACCGAGAGCGACTGCGGCGTCGCCCCGGAGACCGCGAGCGAGACCGGGAACGTAAGCGACCCTGGAAACTCACAGCGTTCTGAGCACACGGATAAAAAGAACCAGTTTAAAAAGTGCTTTCCCCGAACACAAGAAAAAAACACATTTTTGGTTGTGTCCATGAGACGACAGCTCAGTGTGTGATGTTTGTGTGTATCAGAGAGAGATAACGTCTCTAATGACATAATACCATGATGTCCTGCTCCTTGAGCTCCAGCTCGGTCCCGTCTTTGTAGATGACAGTGTAAAGTTGACTTTTGGAGTCAAAATTCAGCACTTTGACTTCATAGTACAGACTGCTGCCCGGCCAGCGGCCCATCACCGTGTCTCCGTGCTGAAACTTGACCGTCGGCATTCTCATCGATCTGAGGTTAAGAAAACAACAACAATTGAAGCCACTCATCTCAGTCCAAAAAACACATGGATTCACCTCATTTTACTGTTTATGTTTGTACTCTGCTTCGTTTTACCAACGAGCTCTGGTGTTTTTTACTCTTCAGATATTAGAAAGCACACATGCACTTGTGGTGGAACAGCAGGGTGTGTCGTTGGAGTGTTGAGAAAGTTATTTTAGGAAGAAATATGTTGCACCATTCTGGGTTAGCTGCAATCAAACACTTAAGTATTGGCACTGCCTCAAATCTGTAATTTGCTAATTGAAACTATTCAAATTGAGGTTTATATTCCACTTTGGCACAGAGGCGGAGGGGGTGGAACAATAAGGTCATAGGTTCAGTCTTGTGTTGGCTCGGACCTCTCTGTGTAGAGTGTGCATGTGTTTGTATTCCTCCACCCAAAACATCCACCAAAGGTCAAATCCTGCCTAGGTAAAGTCCTAGTCTGGTAATCCTGACAGTCAACAACTGAAGCTGGGTCCCTGCTCCTGACAGGTATCTCTAGAACTACAGGATGGGTCAAATGCAGAGGACAACAGAGTAACAAACTAAACCTTATACCTCGCAGTAATGAGCCTACAAACAACCTCCTTTGTATTGTACCCAAATCCTTAGTTTTAGAACGCACATGGACGCTCAGTGCCACTGCCACGGGCAGTAAGAGAGAAGTAAGAGAGAAACTTTTTTAGAAAAAAAAAGGTTTTGATGTAACTACAAAGAGGAATCCAGCCCAAGTCAGCATCACGTCAGAACTGCTGACGGGTCTGTCCCAGAGAGAGGGTCACCAAAGCCCCCCACTCAAACCCCAACCACAGCATTTTAACATAACACACCCTCCAGTATCACGGCACAAGTGCAGCCGGAGAATTAACCCATGATTTATCAAGTCACACAGATCTCTCTTCTGTGTTTTTATTACCATCAAATGCATTGTGCCAGATTGTAGTGACGAGCTAATTACAACCGTAGTTTCACACATGATGGAGAAAAGTGCATAAAACACGTGTTTAGACTTTTGAGCAAAGATCCTTTAGTTTCAGAATTAGACGTGTATATAAATACTTTGGTGTTAAATTAAAGAATATCCAGTTACATGCGACATCACTTTTTGATGGTGGTTCGGTAAAAGGATTAGCTGCTGTTTGCTTTAATAAAATGATCCTGAGTAAACAATAGTATTAAGGCTCTAGATACAGCTGCGCAGGGAACAGTCCTGCTCTGACCGCAACTTACTAAGTTAAAGTAGGATCCCTAAACATTACTCTGTTTATACTCTGGGCATACTCTGATTATACTCTGGTCATACTCTGGTTATACTCTGATTATACTGTTTATACTCTGGTCATACTCTGGTTATACTCTGGTTATACTCTGTTTATACTCTGGGCATACTCTGATTATACTCTGATTATACTCTGGTCATACTCTGGTTATACTGTTTATACTCTGGGCATACTCTGGTTATACTCTGGGCATACTCTGGTCATACTCTGATTATACTCTGGTCATACTCTGGTTATACTCTGTTTATACTCTGATTATACTGTTTATACTCTGGGCATACTCTGGTCATACTCTGGTCATACTCTGATTATACTCTGGTCATACTCTGGTCATACTCTGGTTATACTCTGTTTATACTCTGATTATACTGTTTATACTCTGGGCATACTCTGGTCATACTCTGATTATACTCTGGTCATACTCTGGGCATACTCTGGTCATACTCTGGTTATACTCTGGTCATACTTTGATCCTCTGAGTTTAATAAGAAGCATAGCTTTAGCTTTGCGTGTTCCTAAAACACAAAACTAAAATAGCGGGTCGTACACATGACAAAGTGCCCAGGGCGTGGGTTAAATGCCTCGTAGGAAAGTGTTTGAAAGTGTAAATAGTGCAGCCGCAGAAGCGGTCGGTGTAAAACACTAAAGAGCCGTTATATCCGGAGCTAGCCTAGCATCGGCCTCACACAGACCAACGGGCTCCTCCCTTCACTAACAACAGTAAAACATGTGTACTTACGTGATAAAACTGGAACTATTCAGAGCAGTTGGATATTGTAGTCCAATAAAGTGTAAAAGTGAGGTTTGTAGTTGGAGCGCAGGCTGAGCTAAAGGCGTACGTCGCTGACGCTCTCGCTCTCTGGGCGCGAAGGCCTCTGATTGGCTGCTTCCGCGTGCATTTCAAATTATCCCGTGCTCTCATTGGTCAACACTGGAATTTTAACTGACACGGGTACGTCACGCACGCCGCCTCCAACAAGTCACGATTTCTTTATTTACCACGTTATTTACAAACCAGCTGGAGCCGTGCACGGAGTCCTGTTATCGCACTGGTCATAACAAGTGATCACGGGAGTTTTTTCCCTTTGAAACAAGATGATTTCACAGAAATTTGATTATTTTTGCCCGATGTGTTCAATTTCCTCCCGGGTAATCCTAGATGAGCCTGGTTTAAGAGCTGCTGCTACGAAACCTCAAATGAACTGCAGATGCTGATGTGCTCCACCCACAGGAAGCTTCAGTCCGTTTCTCTCTCTCAGCTGCTGCACTTTACTGCTTGCTTTGACCAGGCCCTTCCTCTGTTTCCAATCTGTGAAGAAGTGCTTTTGATGCAGGAGGAAACACTGTCCATGCATCATGTTTACCTGTCCTAATATATACAGTCTATGGTCCTAATGCAGCATTGTATTATGTGTGTTGTGTGTAAAGATCAGCCAGGACGTTCCTCACAGTGACACATCCAAAGTCCCAACGCAAAACTCATACCTTCAACTGCTCCTGGGTTATCATTATAGATCCATGGTTAATGTTCCAGGTCTACCTCTTTTAGATGCTTCATAACTTTTATTGACCTACAATAATGCTGCTTTAAACTCAATCTCTCACGCATACACTCATATGCACACACACAATTATACACAGACTCACACGCACAAAAAAACACACACTTTAGATACACTCAGACACACTCACATACACTGTGACATACACACACTCAGTCACACACACTAGTGACATAGATCCACACACTCATTCACACACAAACCCGTATTTAAACACGCATACACACCGTCAGTCACACACAGTCAGGCATACACACAGTCAGTCACACACATACACACAGTCAGTCACACACAGACACACAGTCAGTCACACACATAGTTGCAAAAACGAATGCATGGTTGTAATTTAACTTTAATAATCTTGCTGAAACAAAATATGATGTTAGCATATAAGAAAAGACTAACAGTGTGGTCAAATAAATGTTATAACCAAAGGACAAAGAAACACAATAGGTCTGACTGCGTCATTCAGAAAAAGGCAACATGGAAACATTTCTTTCATTCAAATTTATTTCAGCAGACTGTAAAAACTGGACAAAGAAGATATTAAACCAGTGTGGTTTGGATGTATTTTGGAAGAAGTGTCCTCCAGATGAAAGACATGATAAAACAGAATTTAGAGATAAAAAATGTGTGTCCACAGAACGACTGTGCGCAGTCAGAATTTCTTTCATAATAAACATGTTTCAGAACAAGGCACCATCTTCTTCACGATCTATATCTCCAGATTGTGGCCAAACAGTCACTTTCTCAACAACAACCAAAGAAAGAGCAGCAACAGTAAAGAGCCGCTGTTCTGGTTAAAGAGGCTTCTCTTCATTTTCAACCTTTTAAAAGCTGTTTTCATTTCATACAGACGTCCTTCCTAAACTAGACCCAGCCCATAGAAATACAGTACAAAATATGACTAATTGCCAAAACATAACATCATGTGATGCTCGCAGTCCTATGTAATTTCAAGGTGCTCTTTCTCTTGCCACCAACACTGATAAAAATACTTTCGTTTTGATTGTCTTTGTAATGATCAGATGCTGAGGCACGAAAAGATGTACTGTATCTTCAGTATTTATAACTATAGGTAAACAATAACTTCTCTGCTGTAGACCTGACTTGAGGAAAGCCCTGTGAACTCCTCAGGAGTCCTTTTAGGCAGGTTTGTGAGACACCAGCTTCTTCTTTGGCCTAATATAAATTGTAAAAATGAAAAATAATAGATTTATACCATTCTAGTCTAGTCCATCCCTCATGACATATGACTCACAAACACTTTCAAACCTGGCGGCTACAGGGTTCCCCACACAGAAGGATGTGTGACATCAACAGCTACCGCATTTCTGGGCTCCAGACAAACGCCTCTTGACATGAACTTTTGTTGAAGCGTTCCCAGTTTTGATTCAAAGTAAACGTGACAGAGCTGAAGGAACAAGTCACAAGTGTGCCAGGGATTATTAACTCCATTATTTCTGTTTTATCCTTGGACTGATAAGAAACATGCAGCAATATGTCCGATGCAAGGAGGCCGCCACCTCTTAACAAAATGCTACACTTATTGCTGATCAGGAAACTTCGTGGCTGAGTCTTGACAATGAAGTATCACCAGGAAAAGGGGCGTGTCATTCAACAGAAACAGGAAGGTTTGGTAGAGTGCTATTAGACCACTCGACCTATTGTGTCCACTTGGTATTGAAACGCTAGCTCTGCAGTTACAAAAACATTATTGAGCTACTTATGGCCATAGATCTACTGTTGCTCTGCTGATAGGTTTCTCTTGAATAAACATATTCAGGTTAAAACAGTATTGAAGGAAGACAAGCTTTACAGTGGCCACAGACACAATGCCACTTTGGAGTCCAGATGGAAACGGTGTCCGACGGGGCCTGCTCTCCGCCTCTGCACCAGGAACTATGGAGTGGATGATCTTCATGCTGTGCTGGATCTGCCCAGTTCCTCCCTGATAGCTGAGAGAGAAAGCATGTTTATGGAATGTTTGTCAGTATTATGTCTGCAAATACAAAATAAATGAAAGAGAAACTAAATACCATCAATTAGCTCTTCTTTAAGTTTGGACAGCTCCTTTCTCATCTCATCCAGGATATCCTACAACACAGTCAAATCTATATTTACATTTCTCTTTCTTTAAGTAGGAAAGACTTTGAAGCCTTGAGAATAAAAACACACTTGGTGACTTTAGCTCTATCCTCTCTCCAACCTTAGCTGCATCATTATGACTTCTGCTGTAGTCTGTTCATTGCTATTCACCTGCTGTCCCATTATCTGCCCCCCCCTGCCTGACAGCATTCTCCTGCAGTCCTGGATCTACTCCCTGAGGTGTAAGTGGAGATGATCCAGGACTTTGGTCTCTGCTCCTCCTGGACCAATGTCTCTGTTTCTTATTGTCTGTGATTGAACGGTTTGATTCTCTGATCTGTGTTGGCAAATCGACAGCTTTCTAAAGTCCTCCAACAAAACTAGTTTGTCATTTAAGGCTATAATGAATTGAATTGACTTTCCTGACTGCTGGATGACTGATGGATGACTTCCCTGACTGCTGGTTGACTTCCCTGACTGCTGGATGACTTCCCTGACTGCTGGATGACTTCCCTGACTGCTGGATGACTTCTCTGACTCCTGGGTGACTTCCCTGACTGCTGGATGACTTCTGGATGACTTCCCTGACTGCTGGATGACTTTCCTGACTGCTGGATGACTTCTGGATGACTTCCCTGACTGCTGGGTGACTTCCCTGACTGCTGGGTGACTTCCCTGACTGCTGGATGACTTCCCTGACTGCTGGATGACTTCCCTGACTGCTGGATGACTTCCCTGACTGATGGATGACTTCCCTGACTGCTGGATGACTTCACTGACTGATGGATGACTTCCCTGACTGCTGGATGACTTCCCTGACTGATGGATGACTGGATGACTTCCCTGACTGATGGATGACTTCCCTGACTGATGGATGACTTCCCTGACTGATGGATGACTTCCCTGACTGCTGGATGACTTCACTGACTGATGGATGACTTCCCTGACTGATGGATGACTTCCCTGACTGCTGGATGACTTCCCTGACTGCTGGATGACTGGATGACTTCCCTGACTGCTGGATGACTTCTGGATGACTTCCCTGACTGCTGGATGACTTTCCTGACTGCTGGATGACTTCTGGATGACTTCCCTGACTGCTGGGTGACTTCCCTGACTGCTGGGTGACTTCCCTGACTGCTGGATGACTTCCCTGACTGCTGGATGACTTCCCTGACTGCTGGATGACTTCCCTGACTGATGGATGACTTCCCTGACTGCTGGATGACTTCACTGACTGATGGATGACTTCCCTGACTGCTGGATGACTTCCCTGACTGATGGATGACTGGATGACTTCCCTGACTGATGGATGACTTCCCTGACTGATGGATGACTTCCCTGACTGATGGATGACTTCCCTGACTGCTGGATGACTTCACTGACTGATGGATGACTTCCCTGACTGATGGATGACTTCCCTGACTGCTGGATGACTTCCCTGACTGCTGGATGACTGGATGACTTCCCTGACTGCTGGATGACTTCCCTGACTCCTGGATGACTTCCCTGACTGCTGGATGACTTACATGACTGCTGGGTGACTTCCCTGACTCCTGGATGACTTCCCTGACTGCTGGATGACTTCCCTGACTGCTGGATGACTTCTCTGACTCCTGGATGACTTCCCTGACTGCTGGATGACTTCTGGATGACTTCCCTGACTGCTGGATGACTTTCCTGACTGCTGGATGACTCCTGGATGACTTCCCTAACGGCTGGATGACTTTCCTGACTGCTGGATGACTTCCTTGACTGCTGGATGACTTCCCTAACTGCTGGGCGACTTTCCTGACTGCTGGATGACTTCCTTGACTGCTGAATGACTTCTGGATGACTTCCCTGACTGATGGATGACTTCCTTGACTGCTGGATGACTCCTGGATTACTTCCCTGACTGCTGGATGACTTCCCTGACTGCTGGATGACTTCCCTGACTGCTGGATGACTTCCTTGACTGCTGGATGACTTCTGGATGACTTCCCTGACTGATGGATGACTTTCCTGACTGCTGGATGACTTCTGGATGACTTACATGACTGCTGGGTGACTTCCCTGACTGATGGATGACTTTCCTGACTGATGGATGACTGATGGATGACTTCCATGACTGCTGGATGACTTCCCTGACTGATGGATGACTGCTGTTGTGATTTAAGGCTGTGTAAAAACAAACTGAATTTTCAGATTGTTCCTTGATTGTTATTTTTATTGTGAAATACTATGTGATCCACTGCGACATCGTAATTTTCAATAGTCTGTCTACGTCTAATTTAAAACTAACTTTTCTTTACACAGAGGACCGTCCCCTGACCGCGGTGTTGGGCCTTTAGGTGTTTCTTTTCTTCTTGGATAAAGGCTGTGATCCTAAATACAGCGGCAGCCCAGAGCGTGCTATCCAGGCCCAATGGCAGGCTTAGTTATACAAACAGATTCACAGACCTCCATGGAGAGGGAGGCACAGGCACAAACTCAACACAGGAAAAGGCTGGCACAGTGTTTTTCATCGGACTCCAGAATATCTCTTTACTTTGGTTATTTTATTTATAGTATATTTGAAGTTATTGACGTCACAGTAATGTTTGCTCAGGCCTCTCTGAAGTCACCTGTTTCAGTCGGTCGTAGTCTATAGTCTCTGTTGGGACGCCGTTGGCACTTAAGGAAGCAGTGGGAGTGGACTTGGGTCTGGAAGAACAAATAACAATGAAGAAGGAGCAGACCTTTGTAGAACCTGTTCACACAGAAGTGGAAACATGTGAAGCGGATATCTGTTCTGTGTATACTGTGTATACTGTTATACTGTGTATACTGTTATACTGTGTATACTGTGTTATACTGTGTATACTGTTATACTGTGTATACTGTTATACTGTGTATACTGTTATACTGTGTTATACTGTGTATACTGTGTATACTGTGTTATACTGTGTATACTGTTATACTGTTATACTGTGTTATACTGTGTATACTGTGTTATACTGTGTTATACTGTGTATACTGTGTTATACTGTGTTATACTGTGTTATACTGTGTATACTGTGTTATACTGTGTTATACTGTGTATACTGTGTTATACTGTGTTATACTGTGTTATACTGTGTATACTGTGTATACTGTGTTATACTGTGTATACTGTGTATACTGTGTTATACTGTGTATACTGTGTTATACTGTGTATACTGTTATACTGTTATACTGTGTTATACTGTGTATACTGTGTTATACTGTGTATACTGTGTATACTGTGTTATACTGTTATACTGTTATACTGTGTTATACTGTGTATACTGTGTATACTATGTATACTGTGTTATACTGTGTTATACTGTGTATACTGTGTTATACTGTGTTATACTGTGTTATACTGTGTATACTGTGTATACTGTGTTATAGCCAGAGGAGAGCAGACAATGAGAATAATGTGGAAACTAAAAAGTACTGTACAAGTCTCTGGTTGAGTTTTTCTGAATGGTGCTACTTTGGACAGTGCCCCCTAGTGGCCAAAACGGAGCAAAGCACATTACCCTCCAGAACATGTTACATCTACAATAAACAAGTGAGACCCATAAAGCATCGCATACCTTCCGATTACTGGAGATTTGCTACCGTTCATGGTGTTTGCTCTTTCCCATGGCTTCCTGGGCATATCTGGACAGAAATAACACTTTTACACAAACATATGAACTTTCTGTAGATCAGGAACAAGCTCAGTGTAAGTGTTGTTGGTTCCATCAGTGTAAAAGATGATGCTGTCGTGATTTAGGGCCACACAAGAATAATTTGTACTGTATTGGTTTGATGAGTGTAAAATAACTTGTGTGTGTGTGTGTGCGTGTGTGTGTGTGTGTGTGTGTGTGTGTGTGTGGTGCATTTGGGCCAATGGGGACTCAGCGGTGAGATACTGTAGAAACCAAACAATGTGTTGGTGATTGTGTGTTCTGTAAAGTAAGATTACTTCCCAGTTGGTGTAGAGAATAATGAGAAGTGTGTGTACCTAATATAAAGATAGATACACAAAACAAATACACAAGATACCTCTAGTTTTTAACTTTATATCTGTTCGCACACACCCGGAGTGAGGCCAAAGCAGTTTACAATTGTCCAGTGCAGGATCAATAAAGTAGTATCATGTTTGTGGTTGAACAGAGTGTAGACTTTTCCACAGCTTTAAATAAAACTAATCATGAACATAACCAAGATTCACTAAAATATGCAAAGTGTGATGTTTTTGTGTGTTACAGTTGTGTAATGACTGTGTGTTATGACAGTGATGTTCTGGTCGGTGCTGGACCGGGCTTGGCGCCGGGCCTCACCTGGAGTGCTACAGGCGGACACTTTAGGTGTGGAGTCGCCCTCGTCCTGTGGGTTAGACACAAACACTGATGTCGCTGAGTTTAAATAAAAACTTTATTGATCTGAAAGGAACAGGGCTCACTGATCTCTGGTCAGGTTCAGGCGACGAGCCCTTTTCTGCAATCCTCCTCCTACAACAGAGGAACAACAGTCACTGCATTGACATCCTGCTCCACCCAGAGCTCCACCCAGAGGCTCCACCCAGAGGCTCCACCCAGAGACTCCACCCAGAGGCTCCACCCAGAGGCTCCACCCAGAGCTCCACCCAGAGGCTCCACCCAGAGCTCCACCCAGAGACTCCACTCAGAGACTCCACTCAGAGACTCCACCCAGAGGCTCCACCCAGAGACTCCACCCAGAGGCTCCACCCAGAGCTCCACCCAGAGACTCCACTCAGAGACGCCACTCAGAGACTCCACCCAGAGACTCCACCCAGAGACTCCACTCAGAGGCTCCACCCAGAGGCTCCACCCAGAGGCTCCACCCAGAGACTCCACCCAGAGGCTCCACCCAGAGCTCCACCCAGAGGCTCCACCCAGAGACTCCACTCAGAGACTCCACCCAGAGGCTCCACCCAGAGGCTCCACCCAGAGACTCCACCCAGAGGCTCCACCCAGAGCTCCACCCAGAGGCTCCACCCAGAGACTCCACTCAGAGACTCCACCCAGAGGCTCCACCCAGAGGCTCCACCCAGAGACTCCACCCAGAGGCTCCACCCAGAGCTCCACCCAGAGACTCCACTCAGAGACTCCACCCAGAGACTCCACCCAGAGACTCCACCCAGAGGCTCCACCCAGAGGCTCCACCCAGAGACTCCACTCAGAGGCTCCACCCAGAGACTCCACCCAGAGACTCCACTCAGAGACTCCACCCAGAGACTCCACCCAGAGCTCCACCCAGAGGCTCCACCCAGAGGCTCCACCCAGAGGCTCCACCCAGAGGCTCCACCCAGAGGCTCCACCCAGAGACTCCACCCAGAGGCTCCACCCAGAGCTCCACCCAGAAACTCCACTCAGAGACTCCACCCAGAGACTCCACCCAGAGACTCCACCCAGAGGCTCCACCCAGAGGCTCCACCCAGAGGCTCCACTCAGAGGCTCCACTCAGAGGCTCCACTCAGAGACTCCACCCAGAGACTCCACCCAGAGAGTCCACCCAGAGGCTCCACCCAGAGGCTCCACCCAGAAACTCCACCCAGAGACTCCACCCAGGGACTCCACCCAGAGGCTCCACCCAGAGGCCCCGCCCAGAGGCTCCACCCAGAGGCTCCACCCAGAGGCTCCACCCAGAGGCTCCACCCAGAGACTCCACCCAGAGACTCCACCCAGAGACTCCACCCAGAGACTCCACCCAGGGACTCCACCCAGAGGCTCCACCCAGAGGCCCCGCCCAGAGGCTCCACCCAGAGGCTCCACCCAGAGGCTCCACCCAGAGGCTCCACCCAGAGACTCCACCCAGAGACTCCACCCAGAGACTCCACCCAGAGACTCCACCCAGGGACTCCACCCAGGGACTCCACCCAGAGACTCCACCCAGAGACTCCACCCAGGGACTCCACCCAGAGGCTCCACCCAGAGGCCCCGCCCTCCCTGTGACATAATTATTTGTTTTGTTTGGATGGATGTGTTTCTGCATGTCCCCTACAGGATCAATGTGAAAAGTAGTAAATACCGTCTAGCTAACAAAGCGCTCATCTCCTCCATGAGGCCTCCTCCAGGTAAGTGCCCGTTGCCTCTGGTCTCAGTCTTTGCCCCCGTCAGAGAGGCCCCCAGAGCCGAGGCTGGATCATCGCTCTGCTCCAACAGAAGAGACATAGGTTTCACACACACTGTTTACATCTGTACATTTAGCACCAACATGTTCTTTTTACCCTATTATAAAACGATCTAAAGACTGAATAAATGAATGAATGAATGAATGAATGTGAACAATCTTTAAGCCAAAAAAACTCACCCGGGACACTTTGCGCAGCTTGGCCCCAGCGAGTGCAGCAGCGAGTCCTGACAGAGGCCGGTCCTCGGCGGGACTGAAGAGGCCAGCGGGGAGGGGGGGGGCAGGGGGTGGAGGAGGCGCCCCTGGGGGAGGAGGGGGGCCTGGGCTGAGCGGAGTCCCTGCAGGGGTCAGAGAAGGGGGCAGCGGTGGGGGAGGAGGGGGAGGAGGCTGTCCTGGTGGGACGGTGGGGTTGATGGACGGGCTGGTCACAGAGGAGGGGGGCAAGGGGGGGGGCGGAGGGGGTGCACTCAGACCCGGGAGGTCTGGAGGAGCAGAGACAGAGACTTTAACAGCACTTTAGCAGCACTTTAACAGCACTTTAACAGCACTTTAACAGCACTTTAACAGCACTTTAACAACACTTTAAAAGCACTTTAACAGCACTTTAACAGCACTTTAACAACACTTTAACAGCACTTCAACAGCACTTTAACAACACTTTAAAAGCACTTTAACAGCACTTTAACAGCACTTTAACAGCACTTTAACAGCACTTCAACAGCACTTTAACACTTTAAAAGCACTTTAACAACACTTTAACAGCACTTTAAAAGCACTTTAACAGCACTTTAACAGCACTTTAACAGCACTTTAACAACACTTTAACAGCACTTTAACGGCACTTTAACAACACTTTAACAGCACTTTAACAACACTTTAACAGCACTTTAACAACACTTTAACAACACTTTAACAGCACTTTAACAGCACTTTAACAACACTTTAACAGCACTTTAACAGCACTTTAACAACACTTTAACAGCACTTTAACAGCACTTTAACAGTACTTTAACAACACTTTAACAACACTTTAAAAGCACTTTAACAGCACTTTAACAGCACTTTAACAGCACTTTAACAGCACTTTAACAACACTTTAACAACACTTTAACAGCACTTTAACAACACTTTAACAGCACTTTAACAGCACTTTAACAGCACTTTAACAACACTTTAAAAGCACTTTAACAGCACTTTAACAGCACTTTAAAAGCACTTTAACAACACTTTAACAGCACTTTAACAACACTTTAACACTTTAACAGCACTTTAACAACACTTTAACAACACTTTAACACTTTAACAGCACTTTAACAGCACTTTAACAACACTTTAACAGCACTTTAACAACACTTTAACAGCACTTTAACAGCACTTTAACAACACTTTAACAACACTTTAACAGCACTTTAACAACACTTTAACAGCACTTTAACAGCACTTTAACAACACTTTAACAGCACTTTAACAGCACTTTAACAACACTTTAACAACACTTTAACAGCACTTTAACAACACTTTAACAGCACTTTAACAGCACTTTAACAACACTTTAACAGCACTTTAACAACACTTTAACAGCACTTTAACAACACTTTAACAGCACTTTAACAACACTTTAACAACACTTTAACAGCACTTTAACAGCACTTTAACAGGAGTAACTTTAACAACACTTTAACAGCAATGTCAGAGTAATGTCAGAGTAATGTCAGAGTAATGTCAGAGTAATGTCAGAGTAATGTCAGAGTAATGTCAGAGTAATGGTCAGAGTAATGTCAGAGTAATGTCAGAGTAATGTCAGAGTCATGTCAGAGTCTTGTCAGAGTCTTGTCAGAGTCTTGTCAGAGTCTTGTCAGAGTCTTGTCAGAGTCTTGTCAGAGTCTTGTCAGAGTCTTGTCAGAGTCTTGTCAGAGTCTTGTCAGAGTCTTGTCAGAGTCTTGTCAGAGTCTTGTCAGAGTCTTGTCAGAGTCTTGTCAGAGTCTTGTCAGAGTCTTGTCAGAGTCTTGTCAGAGTCTTGTCAGAGTCTTGTCAGAGTCTTGTCAGAGTCTTGTCAGAGTCTTGTCAGAGTCTTGTCAGAGTCTTGTCAGAGTCTTGTCAGAGTCTTGTCAGAGTCTTGTCAGAGTCTTGTCAGAGTCTTGTCAGAGTCTTGTCAGAGTCTTGTCAGAGTCTTGTCAGTGCGAGTCTTGTCAGAGTAATGTCAGCGTAATGTCAGCGTAATGTCAGCGTAATGTCAGAGTAATGTCAGAGTAATGTCAGAGTAATGTCAGAGTAATGTCAGAGTAATGTCAGAGTAATGTCAGAGTAATGTCAGAGTAATGTCAGAGTAATGTCAGAGTAATGTCAGAGTAATGTCAGAGTAATGTCAGAGTTCTGTCAGAGTAAGGCGTCAGGAGAGAGGGGGGTTTGGGACTCTGAGACGCCGTAGACTCTTCTGTTTGTTCCATCCTATAAACATGAGAGAGCAGTATTGAGCAGATCTACCGGGACCTGCCACGCGGTTACACGGGTGTATTTCCTGTATATGTCACATTTACTGAGATAATAAACCACACTTTGATTTGAATTACAGCTCTTGTTGTTTATTTTATATTTAATATTGTGTATTTCACTCCTTACTTACAAACTACAGTTATGTTCTAAGGGCTATACAAGAATACATGGAAGTGAACCAACAAAACTTAAACTTGTCCAATTGTTGGCCAAAAAAAAGGATCTCTTAATCCTAATCTTAATCCTCATATGGGAGAGATTTAGCAAACACTGCGACCACATTGCTCTAAAAATGTATTTGTAGTTTTTGTTGAGACACTTTAGTTTAGCTGACCAACCTTTAGTTGTGGTTATTGCTTAATTTGACAGGTTATTCGTTTACTCTGTGTGGTGGTAGATTTGTAACCATGTTTTTCATTCAAACAGACTATGATGTTGGTTTAATTCAACGTCTTGGTGTTAATTGTAACTTAATTGTAACTGAGAATCCCTGTCTGCTGTTCTATCCAGAAGAACAAACACATGAAACCTTTTTGCTTCTGATTTCCCAGGTTCACGGTGGTTCCTCATGCGTCGTCTCTGGCTCCGTGGCCAACTGTGGCGTTGCGACCCTCAGCTCCGTCCCTGTGCTCCCTCCTCACATCACTCACCTGTTTCTGGGGATGAACCGGATCAAGGAACTCTCTGTCTCGTCTCTGGACCATCTCCCCAGTCTGCAGCTCCTGGACTTAGATCATCAACTCACTCCCCTCGTGATCCGAGACCAGGCCTTCAACAAACAGACCAACCTGACCCGCCTCGTCCTGGGATCGAACCGGAAACTGCAGCTGGAGCCGAGAGCGTTTGAAGGACTGTCCAACTTAAAACATTTATCATTACAACATTGCAATTTGAACGAAACTATTCTAAGCAGTAACATGTTGAAACCCCTCACGTCTCTGGAGACTCTTGACCTTCTCGGTAATAACATTAAGCGTCTCCAGCCAGGCATGCATTTCGTTAACATGACCAATTTGAAAGATTTGGATCTGAAATTTAATCCGCTGGAGCAGATTTGTGAGGTGGATCTCGTTGGGTTTAGAGGTAAAAACTTTCGCCACGTCAACCTGAACTCTGTGCGGCTCGGGGACATGTTAAGGAGGGATTTTGATTGGGAAAAATGCGGTAATCCTTTCAAAAACATATCGTTTGAGTTTGTTGACCTCTCTGGAAACGCTTTGGCATTGGTAGATATGAAGTCTTTTTTCAAAGCAATACAAGGGACAAAAATCAGCAAGCTCCAAGTGTCCAGCCATAATGGTAGGGGCTTTTCCATCAGTAATCTGCCAGATCCAGACAGCACAACATTTGAGGGTCTAAAGGAAAGCCAAGTGAAGTATTTGGATTTGTCAAAGAGTATGATTTTTGTTTTGAAAGATGGAGTTTTTATCCAACTCCAAGACGTCGAAAGCATTGATTTATCGTACAACAAAGTAAACCGCATCGATACAAGGGCGTTTGATGGTCTTCAGACACACCTACACAGCTTGAACTTGTCTCACAACCTGCTGGGAGAAATACACTCTTCTAATTTTGCCTCTTTGTCTGATTTGAGAGTTCTGGACTTGTCCCACAACCACATCGGCGTGCTGGGATTCAAGTCCTTCAGCGGACTCCCGCAGCTGCAAACCCTGCTCCTCACGGATAATGCCATTGCACATTTAGGAATCCCTGCTTCTCTCCCCAAGGTGCAAATACTGAAGCTGAATAGGAATAGATTGAAACATATCAACAACATTGGGAATTTTGCTTCTTCCATTGAGTATTTGGATGTCTCTGATAACAGACTGGAGGATTTAGCCGTCGGGTACATGCTTTTGGAAGAACAGAGAAACCTCCAGTACTTGAACTTTAATAATAATCCGGTTGAATTCTGCAGAGGGAGCTCAAAGAAGACAACAAATCTATTAAAAGAATTATATCTTGACCGTGTCTCATTGGAGTCTATATGGTCAAAGGGAAGATGCCTTGATTTCTTTGACCATCTAGAACATCTACAAGTCCTCAGCCTCACTAACAACAGGATCCAGACTTTACCTGTGGGAATATTCAAAGGCCTGAAATCCATTCAGAAACTGGACCTGTCGTCAAACGCCTTGACTCACATAAGAAACGATACCATCCCTGCTGACCTGCAAACACTGGATCTGTCTGACAACTTCATCGCCGAGCCCCAGTCCCACATCTTCAGCTCACTCCAGAGCCTCGATCTGAGTCTGAACCGGTTCCACTGTGGTCCAGGCCTGAGGGACTTGGTGAGCTGGATGCGACAGACCAATGTGACTTTGAAAGGTCCCGTAGAAAAGCTGAGATGTGAGTTTCCATCTGCTCTGCGTGGCGTTCCTCTGGTCACTGTTTATGGTGCAGACGACGCGCAGTGAAGGATGCAGCTGCTCCTCTGGTCCGTGTGAATCTATGGACGGTGGAGCTACGTCTGTAACGCTATTATTATCTAATGTATGTGTGTTGTTTGTCTCTTTTATTGTTGTGTTTGTTTTATATGGACCCTTTGTGTGTCTGAATTAAAGATTAAATAAATATCAATATCAATTAAGGTTATTTATTAATCACAAGTCATGCAGGTCAAAAAGTTATACACATTTACAAACATTATAAAACATATTTAGTAAAACAGACATACATTAAAAACAGCACTCTCCTAATTCAAACTATTAAGTCTCAATATATAATAACGATTTAGCCTGCAATAAAACAATGTCAGAGATGTGGCCCAAAGGGTCCCAGCAGGAGGCCAGTCCCTGTGCTCCTCAGAGTCCCAGCAGGAGTCCAGTCCCTGTGCTCCTCAGAGTCCCAGCAGGAGGCCAGTCCCTGTGCTCCTCAGAGTCCCAGCAGGAGGCCAGTCCCTGTGCTCCTCAGAGTCCCAGCAGGAGGCCAGTCCCTGTGCTCCTCAGAGTCCCAGCAGGAGTCCAGTCCCTGTGCTCCTCAAAGTCCCAGCAGGAGGCCAGTCCCTGTGCTCCTCAGAGTCCCAGCAGGAGTCCAGTCCCTGTGCTCCTCAGAGTCCCAGCAGGAGGCCAGTCCCTGTGCTCCTCAGAGTCCCAGCAGGAGTCCAGTCCCTGTGCTCCTCAAAGTCCCAGCAGGAGGCCAGTCCCTGTGCTCCTCAGAGTCCCAGCAGGAGTCCAGTCCCTGTGCTCCTCAGAGTCCCAGCAGGAGGCCAGTCCCTGTGCTCCTCAGAGTCCCAGCAGGAGTCCAGTCCCTGTGCTCCTCAGAGTCCCAGCAGGAGGCCAGTCCCTGTGCTCCTCAGAGTCCCAGCAGGAGTCCAGTCCCTGTGCTCCTCAGAGTCCCAGCAGGAGGCCAGTCCCTGTGCTCCTCAGAGTCCCAGCAGGAGGCCAGTCCCTGTGCTCCTCAGAGTCCCAGCAGGAGGCCAGTCCCTGTGCTCCTCAGAGTCCCAGCAGGAGGCCAGTCCCTGTGCTCCTCAGAGTCCCAGCAGGAGGCCAGTCCCTGTGCTCCTCAGAGTCCCAGCAGGAGGCCAGATGTACTTTGGTGCGAGGCCATGGAGAGACTATTATTATTACAAAGAATATGTAAAATATGTGTATGAAAAACATTGCAGGCCCAAATAAAATGATGTAATATTAAGAGTTACCAGCAGAGGGAGCTATCCCACTACAGAAAGTCCTTGTCCTTATGAAAATGTTTTTATCAACACTTAGATTGGTTTGAAGATACGTTATTTAGACTTTCTATTGAGATCTCAGAATATCTGAGACCTGGGAGAGTGATGTTTCAGATGTTAGACACAAGGAGAACATGCAAACTCCTTTCTGTTCCCAGATCCAGGCTAAAGAACAGAGGGAACCAGGCCTTGAAGCAGTGGAAATGTGGGACAGGCTTAAAAATAATAATAATTAATGTACTGGGATTATTTATGATTTGAAGGTCTCTTGCCCTTTGAGTTGTCTTGTGTATGAGCCCAAAGTTTTTAACATAAATAAATATATTATAAACTTTGTTAATCTCATGGAGAAATAAAAACACAATAATTGCATAATTCCAATGACTTTTTGTTTTATTGTTTTACACATAATATATTTTGTTGTTTGTACTTTCTGCACATTGTTTGATCTCTGCTCTGAACGGTGATGGATAAATAAGAAACACATTATTATTATTATTATTATTATTTTGTTATTAATATTTTGTAATTAATATTATTAGTAATGTCCCCACTGTGGCACGAATATCTTTCGTCTTCTCTTATAATATTATCAATATCATTGTCATTGTTTTACTAAGAAAGGCCTGGCCCGGATTCGAACCCAGTATTGTCTTGATGAGAAACGCTAACCACTCAGCCCAAAAAGACTTCATTCAAAAATAACAAACGAGTCACGACCTATTGTGGAATTGTGTATTATTTGCATTCTCTGACGTTGCACAAAGCGGTCCAAAGAATATACAACATTGGGGAGTTGACGCAAAAACACAGGAAACCCCCATCACTCGCGTCGTCATGGAAACACTGCCTCCTTTGATCTCCAAGGCTCGGGGTCACCCTCCCCCTCCCCCCTCCTGCATTCATAATGACATCCATAAGACACACAGTTATATACTTATTTATATACTATACTAAAACACATACTGCTAATGCTAATGCTAATGCTAGTGCTAACACAGCCTTTGAATGGACTTGAATCAGTAAAAATGAAATGTTAAAGAACGCACCAAAATCCATAGTTTTTCTTGTTTATTCACTGACTCCTGAAGCCAAAGTGCAGAACAGGACACAATGCTTTTACTTTCACCATCATAATGCTTCAAATGTACATAATCTCACGGTTTATTCCTAATCAAACACAACCATTTATTTAAACTAGGGACGAACTGTGACACAAAATGTAGATGCAGCAAATATATTCTTTAAATACATGTTTTGGACGTGATTGCAGCAGGTCAATAAAAAAAGAATAATTATAAATACAAAAAGTGAGACATGGATGTGAACAAAGATGCCATCACAAAAACATAACAATTCAATAAATAGACATTTTGAACAATAAACTTTCATGATCGAACTGGAACAGAGAAACCACACATGTCGTGACACCGCAACTTAAAGGAGACGTATGATGCAAACTGTACGACAAGTTTTCCAACCACAGACTGTGTTTTAGAAGTGACTGACTGATTTAAACATAAGCTAGCTGGTGCCTATTTCCCTGTATGGGCATTTGTTAGCGGAGTTAGCTTTGGGCTGTAACAGAGGCAGACATGTTGCTACGATGGTTGCTATGGTGGCAAGCTGGCACCGGTTTGGTCAATGCGTATGGCTGTTATCAGGATTTGCAAAGACCATATCAAAGTATAAACACCAAGATCACAGAGATTTGCTAAACCCAGGATATTTTAATGCCCAAAATGGTGAGTTTACTTTTCAGTGTAAGTCAATGGGACCAGCATTAGCACTTCCTTAGCGGGCTCCCTTAAGCTAGCAGGTTAGGATTGCCCATCTTCATACAGTCTATGGCTACAACTTTGTTCCCTCATCAAAACAGACCTTGTTATTAGATCCATGCTAATTTCAGTCACTTCTAGCACAAACATCTAACTCCGCCCCTTCTGTCTGAACGCTCGGGTCTCAGTCCTGTAACAGCGTGATGTCATTGTACCACTATGACATCACTCAAAAACAAAAAAAAACATTACCCATAAACTAGTTTTGCACATTTCTCAAGCAAAGTGTCATTCATTGTAATGGCATGGCTGTGTTTGTAGCCAGTCATTTTCAAATTTGGAAGAAAAACACTGTACTTGTACGTCTCCCTCTGGTGGTAGCGTAGGGAGTTACAGGCAGACACTTGTTTCACCATATATTATCTACTTACAAAAGGATTTCTCCTTCTAAAACAGGAAGTGGCAACGCAAACAGTCTCCCATGTTATAACGAAAGGTCAAAGGTGATGCATGAGACGTCTTCTTTAAACGGGAGATGATGTGGTTCTGTTACATTCGCCGTGACAAACCTCCAGAGGGTTTTAGTTGTAACCAGATCTGGAGCATCAATAATAAAGGGTGGACTTACCGCGGCCCCCACCGGCCCCTCTGAAGCCAGGACCCTGTGACACATCCTCACAAACAGCAGGAAACACTTTCTCTACACTTTTCACTTTAAAACATGTCTGAAGCTTTTGTACAGTCTGGAGTTGGCCAAGGATTTCCAACTCAAACATCACGGACTGTTCTTATTCTTTAACGCTAGCGCTCCCACAGCAGTCAGTGTTGGAAGCTAAAGGATTATGTACCTTCATGACTTTGTGACTTTAACTTCACTTTCTTTCTTGTTTGCTGGTTTAGTTTTAGTGCTGGTTACCGTAGCAACACGCGGTGTACTGTTAGCAGTTAGCATTAGCCTTTCAACAAACGTTTTTTATTCAGTATTTTAAGTTTTATTCACCAGTTTTAACACTTTAGACCCTTTTAGACTCTAATTTAGTGCCTGCAAGTTTAGCAATAGGGTTAAAAGTGAGTAACGGTAAATTCATTTTAAAAAACATATTAAATCTGGTCAAAAACTGAAACTTTTTGGGGCAAATTTGTCAGGATTCCTTTGTTTTGAAGAGGAGCAGTCAATATGACGGCTCTGGGAGATCTAGCTCGTTGTGGGAGTCCTCGTGTTAAAGTATATTATTGAGTATATTATGTATTTTATGTATATTATGTATTTTTGTATTTATATAAGGCTTAAGTGTCAGTGGAGATGGACAGGTCTGACACCGGTCGTCATCGCGGCTGAACCCGGCGCCGTCTCTGACCGAGTCACGAACACATCTGTACAATAAATAATGTTCTACTTTTCCTACAGAACACACAGAGTTATCTTGGAACGCTCTGAAACCGCCGCTTCAGTCTGAGATCCACGTCCAGGTGGAGCAGGTTATCCTGCTACAAAGTTCACGCCGTGGGGTGTAGTCCAAAAGATGAAAATAAATTAAATATAAATAAATTATAATCATAAAAAAACAGTCTATTGTGCCACAGCAGGAGTTGGACAAGCCGCTAGAGAACCATTGGACGGAGACGACTTCAGGGACTTCTGGGACTGACACCTGCGAAAAACACAACGAGACGGTTTAAGAATATAGAAGAAACGTCATATGCTGTGATTAAAGCTTGGGTATCTAACTTCTTTAATTCAATAAATAATAAATGGTGGCTTGATTTGGTGGCTGAGTGGTTAGCACTCTCGCTTCTCAGAAAGAAGGTCCTGGGTTCGAATTCCACTCAGAACGGGGCCTTTCTGAGTGGAGTTTGCATGTTCTCCCCGAGTCTGCGTAGGTTTCCTCCGGGTGCCACCACTAAAACATGTACAATAGTCTGAATGTAATGAGTGAGTGGTGTTTGGTCGGAGGCTTTGATGGTCCAGTGTGTTCTGGTCTCGCTTCATCTCCGTGTGGAGAGAATGGAACAATATCTGACTTTAAACAAGTGCAAAGCTCTTTGGGAGACCTTGGTCTGTGAAATGTGCCGTATGCAGTAAATAAAGGTACTTACTAAAACATGGCTTTTCACAGAACTACACGGAAAAGACAAATGTCTCACTTCTTTATATTAACTATTCACATGTGTTTGTCCGGACAGTCTGGGAAAGGCCGTTATGTAGAAACCAGACGACAGAATGCATTGAAGAGACCCTGGGAGTCCATATGTGACTCTTTGGGCTGAGAGCTGTGTCCATTTTCTGTTTGAAAAAGATGATACAAAGATGTGATCGAGCCCAAACATGTAAAAGTGATAGTTCAAACAGTTTTAAAGCTGGGGTACCTGAAGCAGGTACCCCAGCTTTAAATACCATGTGAACAAGTTAGACCATGACATATAGTCTGTATCTCTTTGAAAACTTTAAATCTTTTACGTACTAAGAGCTGATTGGACTGGACAGCTCTGAATTAGTTTTATTTTATACTTATTGATTGGGGATTTCAAAGTTATCTGCCCCGGTTTTAAAGGAGCAGTCTGTACCCATGTGGCCAAAAGTGGTACTGCAGCCTCTCCCACTGTCCCTGACTCAGGTTGCCAGATATGCAGACGAATCCAGCTGGGACCATAACAGCTGAATAGACAAGAGTTTAGTCAACAACAAATCTATAACCAACACCTTTTTCACAAAGATAGAAATCCTGGTTTTATTCCTTGTTTTGTCGTTAATGATTTGAGAATCATAACGAGACCTTTTTTAGTTCTGCGCCACATGGTACTTTACCAGTGAGATTAGCTCCACATGGTACTTTACCAGTGAGATTAGCTCCACATGGTACTTTACCAGTGAGATTAGCTCCACATGGTACTTTACCAGTGAGATTAGCTCCACGCGGTGAGTTCTGGCGCCCGGATCACAGACTTTCTGATTGGTCAAACGGTGGAGGGCGGGACATCGAAATGTCAATGTAAGATGTCCTTACATATTGCTCCTTTAAAGAAATCCAGATTTGACATGAAAACTAGACGATAAACAGCAGGATTAGTCCAGATTAGAGGAAAGGATTATTCTAATCTCTGTGTGGGAGACACCGACACTAACCCTTTACTGCCCATAATGACCAGAATGATTCTTGTCTTGGCTTAAACAGATTAACATCATGGAGCTCATTGTAAAGTTACTGAAATGATCACAATCCAAAAGAAAGAGAAGAACGACCCAAGAATACTGCAAAAATAATATAATTTAAAATACAAAGATCCAAAACAAAAACACTCATCAGAACGAGGAGCAGGATGTACCGACAACACAAAAGAACACATAAAAACACTAATCCTGAAATAAAATAAAACTACAAATGACAACATGACAGGGTTAGTTTAAAGAGTGTTCGGGTTTTCATGTCTGAGGTTTTAGTCTAAAATACACACAAAAATACACACAAAAATACACACGTTACTGATATTTCTAATGAGGAGGTTCTGTGTGTTTTTATCAGTGCACTGTGGTGCTGTTCTAAACACAGTCTTTAACCAGATCTAAGCTTCTCCGCTGGTATGTAACCATGCCAGACACGGGGAGAACATGCAAACTCCACTCAGAAAGACCCTGTTCTGACCAGGACCAGTGCTAACCACTCAGCCACTGTATTACACAAGTTCAACAAAACCATTCAGTTCAGCATTTTATTTTATTTTATTTTATTTTATTTTATTTTTTATTGTTGTATTATTTTGGGGCGACAGTAGCTCAGTATGGGGCGACAGTAGCTCAGTTGGTAGAGCATTGGCCTTAAGCCCAGAAGGTCGTGGGTTCAATTCCCACCTCTGCACCTTCTCCATCGACTCCCACTGATGACGGCTGTCGTTGTGTCCTTGGGCAAGACACTTAACCCCACTTTGCCCAAAGCCCCCACTGAAAGATCAAGGCTATGCTCACACTCAGAGAGCAGCCGTCCTCCTGTGGACTCACCACCTGCAGAGGATCAGTGAGGGGCTGGTGCTATGAGACTTGGGTGGCATCTCTGATTGCCACCCCCCTGACCCAGAAATGGATTAAAGGGTAGAAAATGGATGGATGGATGGTATTATTTTGTCTTAAATACAAAAAAGGAGCTGCAAAGCTCCAAACTGAGTCTGAGGTTTAAAACTTTGGGCAAAATAAATGTCATCTAGTTTTTGAAGTTGAAATTACTTTTATAGAGAGATACCAGAAAGAGACCAGAGAGAGACCAGAGAGAGACCACAGAGAGAGACCAGAGAGAGACCAGAGAGAGACCAGAGAGAGACCAGAGAGACCAGAGAGAGACCGGAGAGAGACCAGAGAGAGGCCAGAGAGAGACCAGAGAGAGACCAGAGAGAGACCAGTGAGAGAGACCAGAGAGAGACCAGTGAGAGAGACCAGAGAGAGAGACCAGAGAGAGACCAGTGAGAGAGACCAGAGAGAGACCAGTGAGAGAGACCAGAGAGAGAGACCAGAGAGAGACCAGTGAGAGAGACCAGAGAGAGAGACCAGAGAGAGACCAGAGAGAGACCAGAGAGAGACCAGAGAGAGACCAGAGAGAGACCAGAGAGAGACCAGAGAGAGAGACCAGAGAGAGACCAGTGAGAGAGACCAGAGAGAGACCAGAGAGAGACTAGAGAGAGACCAGAGAGAGAGACCAGAGAGAGACCAGTGAGAGAGACCAGAGAGAGACCAGAGAGAGAGACCAGAGAGAGACCAGAGAGAGAGACCAGAGAGAGACCAGAGAGAGACCAGTGAGAGAGACCAGAGAGAGACCAGTGAGAGAGACCAGAGAGAGAGACCAGAGAGAGACCAGTGAGAGAGACCAGAGAGAGAGACCAGAGAGAGACCAGAGAGAGACCAGAGAGAGACCAGAGAGAGACCAGAGAGAGACCAGAGAGAGACCAGAGAGAGAGACCAGAGAGAGACCAGTGAGAGAGACCAGAGAGAGACCAGAGAGAGACTAGAGAGAGACCAGAGAGAGAGACCAGAGAGAGACCAGTGAGAGAGACCAGAGAGAGACCAGAGAGAGAGACCAGAGAGAGACCAGTGAGAGAGACCAGAGAGAGAGACCAGAGAGAGACCAGTGAGAGAGACCAGAGAGAGAGACCAGAGAGAGACCAGAGAGAGACCAGAGAGAGACCAGAGAGAGACCAGAGAGAGACCAGAGAGAGACCAGAGAGAGAGACCAGAGAGAGACCAGTGAGAGAGACCAGAGAGAGACCAGAGAGAGACTAGAGAGAGACCAGAGAGAGAGACCAGAGAGAGACCAGTGAGAGAGACCAGAGAGAGACCAGAGAGAGACCAGAGAGAGACCAGAGAGAGACCAGAGAGAGACCAGAGAGAGACCAGAGAGACCAGAGAGAGACTAGAGAGAGACCAGAGAGAGACCAGAGAGACCAGAGAGAGACCAGAGAGAGACCAGAGAGAGACCAGAGAGAGACCAGAGAGACCAGAGAGAGACTAGAGAGAGACCAGAGAGAGAGACCAGAGAGAGAGACCAGTGAGAGAGACCAGAGAGAGACCAGAGAGAGACCAGAGAGAGACCAGAGTGAGACCAGAGAGAGACCAGAGGGAGACCAGAGAGAGAGACCAGAGAGAGACCAGTGAGAGAGACCAGAGAGAGACCAGAGAGAGACCAGTGAGAGAGACCAGAGAGAGACCAGTGAGAGAGACCAGAGAGAGAGACCAGAGAGAGACCAGTGAGAGAGACCAGAGAGAGAGACCAGAGAGAGACCAGAGAGAGACCAGAGAGAGACCAGAGAGAGACCAGAGAGAGACCAGAGAGAGACCAGAGAGAGACCAGAGAGAGAGACCAGAGAGAGACCAGTGAGAGAGACCAGAGAGAGACCAGAGAGACCAGAGAGAGACTAGAGAGAGACCAGAGAGAGAGACCAGAGAGAGACCAGTGAGAGAGACCAGAGAGAGACCAGAGAGAGACCAGAGAGAGAGACCAGAGAGAGACCAGAGAGAGACCAGAGAGACCAGAGAGAGACTAGAGAGAGACCAGAGAGAGACCAGAGAGACCAGAGAGAGACCAGAGAGAGACCAGAGAGAGACCAGAGAGAGACCAGAGAGAGACCAGAGAGACCAGAGAGAGACTAGAGAGAGACCAGAGAGAGAGACCAGAGAGAGACCAGTGAGAGAGACCAGTGAGAGAGACCAGAGAGAGGAGAGAGACCAGAGAGAGAGACCAGAGAGAGACCAGAGAGAGACCAGAGAGAGACCAGAGTGAGACCAGAGAGAGACCAGAGAGAGAGACCAGAGAGAGACCAGAGAGAGACCAGTGAGAGAGACCAGAGAGAGACCAGAGAGAGATACCAGGCAGTACACTGACCAGGAGTCGGACTTGTGGACGGCGCTGTCTTTGGAAGGGGAGGAGTCCTGGGGCGGGCTGGGGCTCTGGGTCTGGTCGGTCTGGTCGGTCTCAGAGAATCGGTCTGGAGAGCTGATGTTGAGAGGATTCATGTCCAGCTCCAGGAGCATGACGTTCTCCGCCTTCACCGTCACGGAGCAGAGCCAAGGATTTCACACACAACATAGAAAGGTTCCATCAGCGCCACAGATAAAGGGCAGAAAACCTCAGAATATAAATATCGGTCTAAAAAGAATGGTTTTCAGCCCGGACTTAAACGATGGGGATTGAACCAACAACATTTCAATAAATCCATGCACATGTATGACCTGAAACAATCTCTGGAAACAGGGAGGAAGAGGTGGCCCCAAACCAGACCTGGGCAAAGGTCGGCCCAGGGGCCACATTCGGCACCAATCCTCTTCTGTCTGAGGCCCCTGACACCGCCTCGTACCAGTCTGAACCAGTCTGAACCAGTCTGAATTGGTTCAGAACCAGTCTGAACCAGTCAGAACCAGTCTGAACCAGTCTGAACCAGTCTGAACCAGTCTGAACCAGTCAGAACCAGTCTGAACCAGTCTGAACCAGTCTGAACCAGTCAGAACCAGTCTGAACCAGTCTGAACCAGTCAGAACCAGTCTGATGCTTCTTAAATGAATCAGGAGCCAATACTTAATGAAGGCGTGTATTAATGTGTGCCTCCATGTTTACTCTGTTACTCTGTTTACTCTGTTACTCTGTTACTCTGTTTACTCTGTTACTCTGTTTACTCTGTTACTCTGTTACTCTGTTTACTCTGTTTACTCTGTTACTCTGTTTACTCTGTTACTCTGTTTACTCTGTTACTCTGTTTACTCTGTTTACTCTGTTACTCTGTTTACTCTGTTACTCTGTTTACTCTGTTACTCTGTTTACTCTGTTACTCTGTTACTCTGTTACTCTGTTACTCTGTTTACTCTGTTACTCTGTTTACTCTGTTTACTCTGTTTACTCTGTTACTCTGTTTACTCTGTTACTCTGTTACTCTGTTACTCTGTTTACTCTGTTACTCTGTTACTCTGTTTACTCTGTTACTCTGTTTACTCTGTTTACTCTGTTACTCTGTTTACTCTGTTACTCTGTTTACTCTGTTTACTCTGTTACTCTGTTTACTCTGTTTACTCTGTTACTCTGTTACTCTGTTTACTCTGTTACTCTGTTTACTCTGTTTACTCTGTTACTCTGTTTACTCTGTTACTCTGTTTACTCTGTTTACTCTGTTACTCTGTTACTCTGTTACTCTGTTATTCTGTTTACTCTGTTAACTCTGTCACTCTGTTTACTCTGTTCTCATGAATCAAAGATGATAATAACAGTGGTAAATTAAAAGTAATAACACGCCCTGTAATATATATATTTTCGTTATATATAATATTTCTAATACTGTATTCATAGAACATGCTTTGAGACAGACTGACCCTGTATCTGGGCCGAGGGCCTCTGGTCATGGCGACTCGGGCGGACGCTGTGATTGGACGCTTGTACCCGACGGCGGAGGACGGTCTTTTCTTCATCTGCGACGATTTACTGAGAACGAAGACGGATCAATGAAACTGATCAATACAGAATAAGGTTTAGATCACCCTCAGAGCGAGGACTGGGTCTGGGACTGGGTCTAGGACTGGGACTGGGTCTAGGACTGGGTCTAGGACTGAGTCTGGGTCTAGGACTGGGTCTGGGTCTAGGACTGAGTCTGGGTCTAGGACTGAGTCTGGGTCTAGGACTGGGTCTGGGTCTAGAACTGAGTCTGGGTGCTAGGACTGGGTCTGGGTCTAGAACTGGGTCTGGGTCTAGGACTGGGTCTGGGTCTAGGACTGGGTCTGGGTCTAGAACTGAGTCTGGGTCTAGGACTGGGTCTGGGTCTAGGACTGAGTCTGGGTCTAGGACTGGGTCTGGGTCTAGAACTGGGTCTGGGTCTAGGACTGGGTCTGGGTCTAGGACTGGGTCTAGGACTGGGTCTAGGACTGGATCTAGGACTGGGTCTAGGACTGGGTCTAGGACTGAGTCTGGGTCTAGGACTGGGTCTGGGTCTAGAACTGGGTCTGGGTCTAGGACTGGGTCTGGGTCTAGAACTGGGTCTGGGTCTAGGACTGGGTCTGGGTCTAGGACTGGGTCTGGGTCTAGGACTGGGTCTGGGTCTAGAACTGGGTCTGGGTCTAGGACTGGGTCTGGGTCTAGGACTGGGTCTGGGTCTAGAACTGGGTCTGGGTCTAGGACTGGGTCTAGGACTGGGTCTGGGCCCTCAGACACACCTCTCAGACTGAACCAGAGGCTGGAACTTCCACTGGTCCTCCTCGGGGTCAAACGAGAGTCTGTTCATGATTTTGTTCTTTTCCTCCGGAGGAATGAAGTTCTCGATGATCAAATACCTGCAGCAAAACAAACGTCTGTTGTTTTTATGTTTCACTTCCTGTTTCCTGTTTCCTGTTTCCTGTTGAACTCTCTCTGAACTGTGTCTGAAACATCTGTGGAGTCGAGTGTTTCTGAATCAGGACTAATTACAAATCTACTCGTTCTGTGATGGTGGGACCTCCATCCTCCCTCCTTCATCCCTCCTTCATCCCTCCTTCATCCCTCCATCCTCCCTCCTTCATCCCTCCTTCATCCCTCCATCCTCCCTCCTTCATCCCTCCTTCATCCCTCCATCCTCCCTCCTTCATCCCTCCATCATCCCTCCTTCATCCCTCCTTCATCCCTCCATCCTCCCTCCTTCATCCCTCCTTCATCCCTCCATCCTCCCTCCTTCATCCCTCCTTCATCCCTCCATCCTCCCTCCTTCATCCCTCCATCCTCCCTCCTTCATCCCTCCTTCATCCTCCATCATCCTCCTTCATCCCTCCTTCATCCCTCCATCTCCCTCCTTCATCCCTCCTTCATCCCTCCATCATCCCTCCTCATCCCTCTCATCCTCCATCCTCCTCCTTCATCCCTCCTTCTCCCTCCTCATCCTCCTTCATCCCTCCTTCATCCCTCCATCCTCATCCTTCATCCTCCTTCATCCCTCCATCATCCCTCCTCATCCCTCCTCCATCAACATCCTCCCTCCTTCATCCCCTCCATCCTCCCTCCATCCATCCCTCCTTCATCCCTCCTTCATCCTCCATCCTCCCTCCTTCATCCCTCCATCCTCCCTCCTCCTCCTCCTTCATCCCTCCTCATCCCTCCCATCCCTCCTTCATCCCTCCACCTCCCTCCTTCAACTCCTCCTTCATCCCTCCATCCTCCTCCTCATCCTTCCATCCTCCCGCCTTCACCCATCCATCATCCCTCCTCATCCCTCCTCTCCTCCCTCCTCCATCCTCTCCTCCTTCATCCCTCCATCCTCCCTCCGTCATCCCTCCGGCATCCCAGCCTCCTCCCTACCTTCATCCCTCCGGCTCCCTCGCTGTCATCCCTCCAGTCATCCTGCCACCTCCGGAAGACTCTTTGATCCCCCATATTAACTCCAGGCCTCCCTCCTTCATCCCTCCTGCATCCAGACAGCTCCAGCCTTCATGCCCTCCGGCTAGCCATCCATCTCCTCCTTCAGCCTCTCATCATCCTCCCTATCCCCTCATCCTCCCTTCCGCCTTCATCCCTCCTTCACCCTCCATCCTCCCTCCTTCATCCTCTCCTCTTCCTCCTGCATCCCTCCATCCCTCCCTCCTTCTCCCTCCATCCTCCTCCTTCATCCCTCCTGCATCCTCCCTCATCCTCTCCTTCATCCCTCCTTCTCCCTCCATCATACCCTCCTTCATCCTCTCCATCCTCCCTCCTTAATCCCTCCGTCATCCCTCCATCCTCCCTCCCGCAATCATCCCTCCTTCAATCCCTCCATCCTCCCTCCTTCATCCCTCCTTCATCCTCCATCTCCTCCTTCATCACTACTCATCCCTCCATCATCCCTCCTTTCTATAAGCACTTTCCATCATCCCTCCTTCATCCCTCCATCCGCCCTTGCCGTCATCCCTCCTTTGTCAGCTCATCCAATCCCATCCTCTGCATCCCTCCTTCATTCCACTCCGTCCTCCCTCCATCATCCCTCCGTCATCCCTCCATCATCCCGTCCTTCATCCCTCATCATCCCTCCTTTCATCCTCTCTTCATCCCTCCTGTCTATCCTACTTCATCCCTCCTAATCCCCTTCCTTCATCCCTACTTCCCCTCCATCCTCCCTCCTTCATCCCTCCATCCATCCCTCCTTCATCACTCCATCCCTCCTTCATCCCTCCTTCATCCTCATCCTACCTCCATCCCACATCATCCCTCCTTCATCCCTCCTCCCCCTCCTTCATCCCTCCTTCCTCCATCCTTCATCCCTCCTTCATCCTCTCCATCCTCCCTCCTTCATCCCTCCTTCATCCCTCCATCCTCCCTCCTTCATCCCCTCCATCATCCCTCCTTCAA